CAAGGTCATCTCGCTATGCTTGTGATTCTGGACTACGCTGCCTGGTACCCGGAAGCTGTACCCCTGTGAAACACAATGTCCAAGAGGATAGCAAAGGAGTTAATCCGAATTTTATCTCAGGTAGGCATACCTAAGGAGATTCTGATTGATCAAGGGACTCCCTTCTTGTCAAAGTTGATGTCCTTGGCCTACCATCCACAGACTGATGGCCTGGTCCAATGTTTTAACAGAACACTGAAGAGCATGATATGGAAAGTACTGAGTCAAGATGGAAAAAATTGGGATAACTTGCTATCCTACCTGATGTTTGCTATAAGGGAAGTTCCCCTGGCTTCCACATGCATTTTCTCCCATCAAGTTGCTATATGGTCACCATCCCTGGGGCATTTTGAACATTGCCAGGGATGACTGGGTGGAACAGACTAGTTAAGGAATGAATGTAATTGAACATGTGATACAGATGCAGGACAGAATAGCCCAAAGTCACTCCCATAGTGCAAGATGGGGAGGGGGGAGAAGCACAAAAGGCCCAACAGGCTATTATAATTGTCAAGTGAAGGTTTGGAAATTCCAGATAGGGGATTGGATAATGGTGCTGGTGCCCACTGCGGAAAACAAGCTCTTGGCCAGATGGCAGGGATCATACAAAGTAATAGAGGGGAGGTTGACTATAAGATTTGACAACCTAATCACTGAAAGCAGGAGCAAATCTACCACGTCAACCTGTTAAAGCCCTGGGAAGACAGAGGAGCTTATATGGTTGCCCTATATGATTCCACTCCAGGAAGATAAAACCTTAGGGATGTGTAAAATATGCCCCAAATTGAACCCTGAACAATGTACAGAAGTCGTCCAGATGATCAAGCGAAATCACAATGTGTCCTCAGGGAAGCCAGGCAGAACCATGGAAGCTCATCACCACGTCATCATGGATCCAGAAGTAAAGGTGAAGAATGAACCATACCAAATCCCCGTGGCGAAAAGGTCAGTACAGAAGTTGAGGATGCTGGAACTGGGAGTCATCAAAGAGTCCTATAGTCAGTGGCCCAGTCCAATCATTCTGGTATCTAAACCAGATGGTACTATGAGGTTCTGCAGTGACTTCTGAAAATTAAATAAAGTGTCCCAGTTCAATGCTTACCAATTCCTCAAATAGGCTAATAGACCAGTTGGGAAAAGCAAGATTTTTGTCTACCATCAACCTGACCAAAGGATATTGGCAAATCCCTCTGGCAGAGGTGGCCAAAGAGAAGATTGTCTTTGTTATGTCAGAGATCCTATACCAGAACACGGTCCTCCCTTTTGGATTACATGGGGCTCCAGCAACCTTCCAATGCCTCATCAATAAGCTAGTATGTCAACATGCCAAGTATGCAGCTGTTTACTTGGATAATGTGATCATTCACAGCCAAGACTGGGGGATACATCTGGAAAAGGTGGAAGCAGTACTGGATACCCTGAGGAAAGCAAGTCTCACCACTAAGCCATCCAAATATGCAATATTGGTAGTAGAAACCAAATACCTCTGATACATCATGGGGAGAGGCGTAGTGAAACCCCAACTGAACAAGGTAGAGACAATACAAAGATGCTCTCGACCGATCGTGAAGAAACAGGTGAGAGCATTCCTGGGGATAGTGAAGGTATTACAGGTGATTCATTCCTCACTTTGCCTGGAGGGCATACCCTCTGAGAGATCTGATAAAGGCCAGAGACCCAGATATAGTATAATGATCTAGTATAATAATGGTGTGGCTGAAGATCCATTTTGTGAATCTGAGGACAGCCCTCTACGCTCATCCAGTTCTAGCAGCCACAGACTTTGAAAAGGTCATACTACAAATGGATGCCTCCGAGGTAGGGTTAGGAGCCATGCTTCTCTCAAATAGTAGGAGAGGAAGAACACCCAGTCTTGTACTTCAGTAGAAAATTCCTTCCCAGAGAACAAAAGTATGGCGTGGTGGAGAAGGAATGTCTTGTGGTAAAGTGGGCCAGGGAAACCCTGTGGTACTATTGGCTCGGACGGAGGTTTACCCTCATTATGGACCATGCTCCCCTGAAGTGGATGCACCAGAACAAATTAAAAAATGGAAGAGTAACAAGATGGGTCCTGTCACTACAACCCTCCCACATCAGGGCGCAGCACAGGGCAGGAATCAAGCATGACAACGCAGATGGCCTGTCATGAGTACGCTGTTTCCTGGCCCATGTAGCCGAAGTCCCTAATGCTGAGCCGGAGTTGGGGGGCCAAGATGTGACTAAGTCGGAGCAGCTATAAGCGAGTGGTGGAAGGCAGGTGTATCTGTCCTATAATGGTGAAGGCTCTTTTCCCTATGAACTGAAATGGGGTTACCTCAGGTTAATTAGAGACACCTGAGTCCAATTCAGGGCCACCTTTAATAACCTGTTGCTAGAGGGAGAGGAGAGAGAAAAAAACAAGTGACAACAGGGATGGAGCAGCAGGGAGAAAAGGCTTCTCCTAGGTGGAGGGCTCTTCCATTATAGGGAGGAGAAACGTACTCCAACCACCCCCTCCACCAGAGGCTGACATGGCCAAAGAGGAGCCTGGCTACAGCACCCAAAATCAGAGGCCACTTTGGGAAGCGTGGCTGTTAACTTCAGCTTGGGCCAAGCCGTGTGTTAGCTCACATTCCAGGGAGCGCCGCGTCCTCGTCCCTCCCTCCCTTCGCTTCCCCCATCCCCACAGCAGCAGCAGGAAAGGTTGGTGGAGTGGGGCTATTTTGGGAGCATCTCCCTGGCAACGGCTGCCACCACCGTCTGTGGTGGTTTTTCCATAGGTGCTAAAATATTCTGTGCGGCTTATTAAAGAAAGCAGCTGGGGGAGAGTGGCGGGGATGGGGAGAGGTAGCCATCCGCTGCCTCACCCAGTAGTTTGCTGCTGGCAGCGTGGGGTACAGCCGACCCTGGCTGGAGACGGTGAAAGTGAACCAGGTGTATTTAAATGAAGACTGTCTCCATTGTGGGTCAGTGAAGTTCTCTATAGAAAACACCCAACGCCCCCTGCTGGCGATAGTCCTTCTGTCCTGCCATGCTAACTCTATAGAGAATGGCCGAGGAGGCACAATCAGCCGCTTGTTCGAGAGATGAGGGGGAAGAGTTCGTGCCTCATGTCTCGTCCTTTCTTTACCCACCATTCCTGACCTATGGCTGAGGTCAGATTGGCAGTGACAGCATTTTGGGGGGAGTCATGTCCAGGGAGGGGGAGAACAAGGTATCAAAGAAGATTCATCTTCTGCCCCCCTTAAAGAAAAAAAAGAATTTTGCCTTCTCATTCTATTGGGGGTTTTTGTATGGCTCCCATCACTGTAGTAGCTGAGCGCCTCACGAGTACTAAAGCGTTTTATCCTCTCACCCCTTCCCATGAGCCTGGGAAGAATTGTCTTCATGCTAGAAATGGGGCATTGAGGCACAGCGAGGTGAAGTGACTTGCCCGAGGTCACAGAGGGAATTGGTGGCAGAGCCAAGTGCTCCTGAATCCCACCCCAGCTCAAGCCCAGACTTCCTTCCTGGTTGCCTTGCTGTGAAGGAAGCACCTGGAGAGCTGTTCTGAGTGAAGACAGGGCCTGATCATCGAAATAATTCCACCATTCACATTTCTAGTGCCTTGACTCCTGAAGGGTCCCAAAGTACTTTCTCTCCTAGGCTGGGACACTGAAGCATAGCTGCCTCTGAGCTGGAGCAGTGCACAACAACACAACAGTTTTCAGGAGGGGAAGACAACCATCTATAACTGAAGCTTCAGAGGGGATATTAGGTAGCAAGAATATAATTACCCAAACTGGAATTGGACTATGACAGCACCTAAAGCTCTTGGGGAAAGGGTCTTGGGACCTTTACGGCCACAAATCGTGGTTTGACAGTATGTCTCATTTGAAAGGTGGTGTTTACAGCTGCACAGCAGGCTCCTAGCACGCTGCTGATGTGAGTTCAGTACTGACTCAGAGGGAAGAGCACCCCCTACTGACTGACGCCAGCTCCTGCATCACCTGAGGTGCCTTGGAGGTCTCCCATCCAAGGGCTAAGCAAACTGTGCACTATGGGCTGCAAAGAGCAGGCTGGTTGCATGGTGCTGGGTCCTCTTCTTTACTGCTGCTAAACTGCACTGAAAGACACTAAGACCACATCTCTTTCCCTATACTGCTGTTCCATGTAAGCGCTTGCTGTGGCTGCCACAGGGATGGGGTTTGATCACCAGTGAGGGGGAGGTGGTCCATGGGATTACGCATGGGAGGTGAGGTGTCCACAAGGCAGTGTTTTATTAGGATGTGATCCATGTTCTGAAAGGGTTTAGGAACCTCTGGCTGAGGAAATCCAATGAAACCATAACCTCCCAATGACTGGCCCTGAAGCCCAACGGTTAGGTGCCTAAGGGATACTGAGTAGTTAAAGGGAGAGCCCTGTTACCTGTACCTTGTTCTCATACGAAAATGAGGGACACCGCCTGTGCTTTCCTCTGATACAAAGCCCCTGTGCCTGCTAGAGGAGCAGCCCTGTGAAAAATAGCTGAAACATTTCCAGGAGGTGAGACCCAGAGAATGTTTTCTCAGCAGGTGAGGGTCACAGCAGGCCCTGAACTAACTCCACAGGGATCCTCAGAAGGCCCCTGGAGGCCCCTGCAAGGACATTCTTTGTAAATCTATAGTAGGATCACCCAGTACTGGGAACTGCTTCAAATCCAATGACAAGCAAAAACAGTGATGACACACGGCACCTTTGGAGAAAGTTCTGGAAGAGTGCGATAGCTGGTGAATTAGAGGGAGATTTCTGTACCTCCCTGGATTAGATGTTGGGTGCAGCATCTGGGAAGAAGGGGAAAAAAGGACCTGGATTTCTATGCCTTCTGGTACAGACTGTGTGGCAAGCCTCTACAGGCTACTGTGCTCCATGCAAACATGCCTGGGGCATCTGAGTGCCAGCTGCATGTGTTCCCATTCCTGTTTCCATTGCTTTTGGTTGCACTCTCATCTCTCCCCATCTCTGCATCTGCAGTGTGTATCCATGGCTCTGAGATCACATGTGAGGATGGGCTAAAGTAGCGGAAAGCTGTTGGATTCTACCAGAGAGTTACTGACTTCTTAGCTACAGACTGTATAGCAATCTAAGAGAGAATGAGAGGGAGGAAGGAGAGAGGAAAAAATAGAATGGAGAAAAAGAGCGACTGGAGAAATTGTAAAATAGAGACAAACTGAGGGGGGTGGGAGTGGGGGGCGGGGAAAGTGACAACCAGACAAAAAAAGAGAAAGAGGGTGATAAACAGACAGAAGGGAGAAACCGGTTCAAGAACTCATCGACAAGCTGCAGACAAATAAAGCTTATGAAGGATGGAAATTCCTCAAAACAAAAAATGCTAAAAAGGGGGAGATACAAAGTGCAGGAAAGAGAAGGAGATAGAAACAAATGAGGGAAAGTTAGAGCATGCCAGAGGAAATTCTTAGGAGGAAGAACTAGCTACTTGAAAAATAGTGAGGAGACAGAAAAAGAGACTAAAAGGAGAGAGACCCCCAGATTCCTTAAATCCAGGCTCGGTGACAGATTTCATGGTGGGATGAAGAAATCTCCCTCTTTTCCCTTTCCCTGACTTTTGGCTCTCCAGGACTCAAACAGGGAATAACACAGGACCTGGGTAAGAAATTATTATGGTTATTAGCCTCATTATAATTTTCCAGGATTTTTGCTATGCTAATAATGCATAATTTCATATGAATTATCGATGCAAATATATAATAATTATAAGTATGTGTGTGTGTATATACACGTATTTATGTCTGCATATATGTGTGTGTGAGGGGGGTTGTGTGTGCATATATAAATATATATAATAAACTGTGTGTGTGCATATATAAAATAAAGTGTAAGAGTGAGTGTGTGTGTGTGTATAGTTAGATAGACAGGTAGATATACACACACACACATATAGTTAAAGCTCCATAACTTTCCCTCCTTTTTTGACCTGGAATGTCAACTTTGGTTACATTTATGTGACTTTTTATTGTTAGCCGCAAATAATTTTTTGACGGCTCCCCTTTACAAGTTGTTTTTTGTTTTCTCTGTCTCTCACCCCCAATTGCTGGCACCCTCCACTTCTTCTGTGTGCCTCTCCAATCCATTTCCCTAATCAAGTCTAGAGATGAGGAGCTGGATTCCTTGTGGATGTGCTCAAAAACTCGGGCACTTCGGGGCACATGCCGGTTCTCTCTCTGTGAAGCTTGTCAGAATCGATAATCAATACCCCACACCCCTCTGTCCAACCTCTTCTAGGTCACTGATTGTCTGTGTTGCTGATCTAATTGGCAGAAATGAAGCCCAAATAAGCAGTCTAAAGAGGCTTCAAACTCTTGAGTTTCTTTGAAGCTGAGGAAGCAGCCAGCAAAATGCCAGGGAAAGTCTCTGCTCCATCTAATCTCTCCCTCTCCCTGTGTTTCTAGTGCATCCATCACTACAGTGCGTTGTGTTGTCAGAGCGTGTGGGTGAACCTGGCATGTCTCATGTGAACTCCTGCTGCCACCCCCCACCGTGGAGGTCCCTCCTGTACACATTGGACACTGCATCCTCATTAGTGGGCAAATTTCAGAGGGGCTCCCTCTGCTAGGAAGCTGACGTATTCCATCGCCAGAGTCCATCCATTCCCACATCACTTGATGGAGGTAGGAGGTGACAGCCATGGGTTGATGTCCCAGTTAGATTATTCCATTGTAACATACCCAGGAAGCACTGGTAATGAATGACCCAAATGGCTAGTAGGAGAGACATCTAAGGGCTGGTCTAAGCACAGGTTTTGTGCTGTGGTATCTGTTGAGAAACTGATGTAATTAGATCAGTGGGACCCCCATTCCTACCATGGGCACAATTATTCTGGTATAAAATTGCTTACGCTGGTATAGCTTATTCCTGGAAATTTACCAAAGCAAGCGACAGTGTTATAAGGTACCTTTATACTGGTGCAGCTGTATCCGCACTAGGGGTTGTACTGAGTGATCAGATATAGCAGCACAAAAACTGCATTGCCGACCTTATAGAGCCAAATCCCATTCGCTTTACTCAGCTGAGCAGCCCCATTGACTTCAGTGAGGAGATAGTGACGTCAGTGTGCAAGGAGAGTAGGGTTTGGCCCGAAATGTATTTGAATGGGTGACATATGGCAAACAAAGCCATCCCCTTCCAATCCATGGGGCACAGTGCTAACATGGGTGCTAAAATGGACGGGGGCCCTTTGAAGTGCCCTGGCCTTGCTGGGAGGATGGAAAGAGAATAGTTTCCCTTCAGGATCTGCTCTTCACCTGCTGTGTTCTGAGGTGTAAAGCAGATGGGACTGGATATAGGAATTAACCTTTGGGGTTTTCTCTTGAAATCCCATTGAGTAATTTTTTTTCATTTGATCAAAAATGGAATGTGCTCTCACCCTCTCAAATGGGCAACGATCCATGGAAGGAGGGTGGCAATCTATGCTGGAATCCCCGTCATTGGAGGTTTTTTTCAGACCACCCTGGACAAACACCTGTCAGGGATGCTCTACGTTTACTTGGTCCTGTCTCAGCACAGGGAGCTGGACTTGATGACCTCTCAAGGTCCCTTCCAGCCTTACCTCTCTATGTTCTATGGATGTCAAAACTGGTGTTCCGTGTGGTCAGGTGAGGGAGAGAACCAGGGCCAGCGGCTGAAAGGGCCCAGAGGCCAGTGGCAGTGACAGTCAACTTGTTTCTTCCTTGTGCACATATATCCTCCCCATGGCTTCCAAGGGTGGAGGGGAGAATGGTTAGATTTACCTATCTATGTCCATGCACGTGTACAGTGTCATTATATTGCAGATTCTCGGGGCTGTGTGGTCTCAAGGCTCCTGACTTTGGAAGAAGGTTCCTGGGACACCATGCTCTGAGAGGGGTGGGCTCTGATTTCCTCTTGTTTGAAGTCTGTGTGTGGATATTGGGGGGAGGCTCTATTCTCACTGCATCATTACCCAAGTGAGGGCCTTGCTGTCTGCCCCTCCCCTCCTCAAAGCCCATTTGGGCCCCTGCACTTTTTGTGTACAAGGGACAGAGTTGATGTGCGTCAAGCCCATTTGGTGCAAACTGAGTGCAAACGTGTTTGCTTGTCTAAACGCAAGCTTTGCCTAGACACTGCCAGTCCTTGCCCAGCACAGTGTGCCAAGTTATTGTGCACCAGCCTGATTGTGAGCAGAAGCGAGCGATGCCTGGGTGCAAGTAAGGTTAAGCAATGAATATTGGCCTCTGTGCTGTATGAAGCCTGCACACCATCTGTCTCCCTTGCAAGGGGGCAGAGTGAAAACAGGGCGGTTTTGGTATGCTGCAGGGGCGTGACTGACAAGACCTGAGCACGGTCCTCATCATGCTAATGGAGCTCCTAGCTCTCTGCTCCCCTTAGGTTTTTCTGCTGAGGAGATCACGGTTGGGAGCAAGCTCAGGATGGAGAGATGGGAGAACTCAGCTAAGCTCCCGTTCTCCCCACCCTACTCACACAGGAACCTCCATTCCTCAGGTTCCTGTCTAAAATGCTGCGTAGATCTATCTGGATGGGCCCTGGTGCTGGACAAAGAAAGCAACATCCCCATTCTTGTACATATATTATTTATTATTTGCATTACTATAGCTCCCAGCGGGGCTAATTATGAATCAGGGCTCCGTGGTGCTAGGGGCTGTACAAACACAGAAATCAAAATCCATTTGGTTTCCCTGTTTTATGAGGCCTTGTCCACCCTGCCCATGTGGTGGGAGCTAGAAGGATTGGCTGCATTGTGAGGGAACTATGTGATAACATGGAGTAAGTGGTAGGGGGTTCTGCCCCCTTGAGATCCAGTGGAATATGGGGTTCCAGGTTTTAATAAATGTTTCCTAAATAGGGGGTTCCTTAATACTGAGTTTGGCTGTCACAGAAGGAATTGAAATGTGCCCCGCTGTTGATTTAGTAAGTGGAAATGGCGCCCCCACAAGGGATGAGTGATCGAAACATGCAGCCTACTGCATGTAGCTGTTGACAATAATAATCGTACAGGGGACACACATTCTTTAAAGAGAGAGCTGTTCTGGTGGGGATAGGAGGGGAAGAGGAAGGCGAGAGAACGGGAGGAGATAGAGAGGAAGGAGACAGAGGGAGGAGAAGGGGTTGAGCTGGAAAGGAGGAGCTCTATTTCCTTCTCCTCTCTCTTTGTCCCTCCTCTCCTCTCCTCTCCTCTCCTCTCCTCTCCTCTCCTTTTTGGAGGCCAAAACTGACTGGTGTGATCAGTTGTTTCAATTCTGAGACTAGCAGAGGCAGCAAACCCCACCCCTTACAGCATCCTCATGTAATTTGCAAGGAAAACTGACTTTTTTCAAATCAAAACTATCTTCTGTAAAATGTGTGAGGTGCTCAGGAAAACAAGAGGCTACTGCACAGTGCAAACCCCTTGCACCACACTTTGCCAATGCACCTCAGTCTTTCTTCCTCCCCACCCTGCCCTACAGCTCTGTGAGTGCTCCTCAGCTTTGCCTCACAACTCCTGTTTGTTTAAAACAAACAAAAGGAAATATTTTTTCACACAGCACACAGTCAACCTGTGGAACTCCTTGCCAGAGGATGTTGTGAAGGCTAAGACTATAACGGTTCAAAAAAGAACTAGATAAAGTTTATGGAGGATAGGTCCATCAATGACTATTAGCCAGGATGGGCAGGGATATTATCCCTAACCTCTGTGTGCCAGAAGCTGGGAATGGGCAACAGGGGATGGATCACTTGATTATTACCTGGTCTGTTCATTCCCTCTGAAGCACCTGGTATTGGCCACTGTCAGAAGAAAGGATACTGGTCTAGACGAGCCTTTAGTCTGACCCAGTATGGCCGTTCTTATGTTCTTATTCCAGTCCTGGGGGATCCTTCATGCATCTCTTCCAGGGCCCCAGGTTATTACTCTGCCAATGTACTCCTTATGGATCCACTCCCTTTTGGCTAATAGCTACTGTAAATCATTCTGCAGTTTCACATGGAGAAATTATTCTTCATTTCTCCCCCTATGACTATGGTGCATGGGGTGACAGGTACAAAGTATCTGCTGCATTCCATCTCAGAGGCAGCTGCATTTCAGTGGTGAGATCACTTTGGAGGGTACCAGGAATTGGGAGAAGGACATAGCAATTGACACTGTGCTCCCCTGTGACCTACACTCATGGCACATAGCCTTATGCATACACATTCTAGACTGGTTAATAGGAGTCTGACCTCAGCAAGTTCCAATTCTTCAGTGTTGTGACGTTATTTAGTTGTATTAGTTTAATCAAATGGAGCAGCCTGTGATCAATAGATGGCTGCTTGTGTCTTAGTGATCAATCCCTTATTCATAAATGTGTAGCTTCCCGGCCTCCTGCTAGCACTTATTTTCTGTGAAAGGTAAAAATTGAGGGGAAGCAATTTCCCCATTCCTCACAGCCCTGCAAAACTATCTGACAACAGGTTAACAGCATTAGAATATACTGACTGTGCATGCTTAAAGGTAGTGGAGGGCTCTTTGATTTTGTACATGAAGGCTGAGCAAGATCCTATGGCTGGAAGTTGGAATTAGACAAATTCAAACTGGGAAAAAAGGTGCAGATCTTTCCCGGGAAGGGTAATTAACCAGTGACACAGATTACCAAGGAATGCAGAGGCTTCTCCATCACTTGAAGATGGTAAATCAAAACAGGAGGTCTTTTCAAAAGATATGCTCTAGTACAGAGATTCCCAAACTTTTTTGCTGAGCACCCATTTGGAGATTTATGTCCCGTCGGCACCACCTCTCTCAGGGGAAGGGGTGCCCTATATTCACAGGGGTGACAGGTGGGGGGCAAGAATGCCCGGTACCCATAGGGATGGAGGGAGTATTCACCATGTGGCAGTTGAGGAAGTCTTCCACTCTCTGCAACAGTCAGGTGGTCTCAGCTGCCAGGACCCGTCTCTCTGCCTGTCTTGCTCCCTGCCCCAGGTAGGAAGCAAAAGGGGCCATGCTGAAGGGCCGGGGTCAGGAGGGGAGCAGAAGGCTGTACCCATGAGTACTGCCTCCCTGCCAGTGACATCCCCCTGCCAATGCCCCCGACCCTTCAGCACTGTCCATCCACTTCCCCTGCACTGTCTCTGTCTGACAGAGGCTCTGTGCCAGGGGTTGCGCTGAAAGGCCGCAGTCAGGAGGGGACCCTGTCTGACAGGGATCTGTGCTGAAGGGCCAGGGTCTGGGAGAGGTTCTGTCTGGCAGCAGGGTCAGCGCTCCCGAGATGCATCCTTTGGCTTTTGCTCACAGTGTCCCCACTGGCCTCCCCAGCAGAGGAAGGTAGCTGCCAGTTGGTGGCTGTGGCAGATGGGCATAGAGCCTGTTCCCAGCAGCTGAGACCACCTGTGCTCCCCTCCCCACAGCTGATAACCTTGTCACACCTCCCCAGGGGGGAGTGCCCCACAGTCTGAAAACATCTGTTCTAGTTCAAACGCCAGTTGTTGAATTTGACATAGGAATCATTGGCTGAAATTCTATGGCTTGTGTTATGTGGGAGGTCAGCCAGAGGGTCACAGTGTCCCTGGCCTTGGAATCTATGACTGTGTGAAAATACAGAGTGGCAAGGAATCCTGCCACCAAACTAAAAAGTTCAAATGTTTCGAAACCACAATCCAGCTCCCCAGCAGTTGTAAATGG